TCAGACCTGCAGCTGCAATTCATATTTCCAATGATTCTGAACTCTTTCTTAGAATGCTGTCACTTCCTATGAGAACTCCCACTTACAAAGTTGCAGAGCTTGGCCACCGTCAGCTTCTTTCTGCCGGAACTGCTACAGCCCCAGCTTTGGAAGAGGGTGCTACTGTACTGTGCACTTAGTCAACATGGCAACAAGCACTTCATGAGAACAAGATCCCAGAATCATGTTCTCATGAAATACTCCAGATTTCAATTTGACAAGTGGAAAATAGAAGGGTTCCAATATCTATATGTTGTTTAGTGCTATCCAGTCAGTTCTGACTCACATCAACACTGTATCAAGTTTCCGAGGAGCGGTTGGTGGATTTGAACTGACAACCTTGTACTCTAGTGTTTGCTCTACAGCACTACACCAAGACTCGAATGATATATATACATAAAGTGTTGGGGGAACTTACGTGATTTGCCTGTAACTTTGGATGATTTTTTTTTAAATGTATATATATATATATATATATATATACACACACTTTATTATTAAAGGTCAGATAAAAAAAATATCATAAAGGTGTTAAAGATGGCCTAATTGTGAAAAGTTAATTATATTGGGATAACTGCCCTGTCGGTAACTCAATTGACAGGCTAACTTTCAGACTGGAGTCTTGAGAAGTTAACAGAATCTCCCACTTTTGTGTGTGTGCAGACAAGGTCACTAGAGTGGTACACAGCAGCATCCAGGTTGGGTTAGAAACACTCACCTAGTACTGCTAACCACAAGGATCAAAACTACCAGCTGCTCCACAGTAGAAAAACGGGGCTTTCTGCTCCCTCAAAGATTGAAAGTCACAGAAACCCTATCTACGATTGCTCTGAGTCAGAGCTGACTCAATGGCAGGGTTTGGTTTTAGAGGAACAACAACTACTCCTACTGAAGCCCTGGAGGTGTCACAGAGAATTCAGAATCAGGTTTTGGGGAAGAAATGAGCATTAATATTTTAGAGTTATACTTCTTATAGATTGGCCAAGAGAAATGAAGTTGTTTTTAGTGGGCAAGTTTATGTATAATACTTTTAAAACATAGGAGTCTCTGGGTAGTACAAGCAGTTAAACTATTAACTGAAAGGTTGACAGTTCAAGTTCACCCAGAGGTGCCTCAAAAGAAAGACCTGCCTATCTACTTACTTACAAAAACCCAGACCTTGAAAACCCTGTGGAGCATAGTTGTAGTCTGACACACCTGGTGTCACGGTGAGTTGGGATAGACTTGGTGTCAACTGGTTTTTATAAACACAGGGGCTTTGAGAAATATCTTAGGGCACTTAGAAATGCTGTAGGGATGTTTGGCCTTTGAAATGATCATATCCTTGGATGGGGACACTAGCGCTTCAACTTTCCCTCTGTAGGAAAAAGAACAAAAGAATTACACAAAGTGCAGTGGGACAGGCAAGTTGTTTTGATTTTCTTTGATTTATGGGCAATGAAGTTTACAGCCAACAGCTTCAGCATCAGAAAGAAAAAAATCAGAGGCACTGTGAGCTTTGTGTTGGGGCCAGATCAATGAAGAAGAGAGGGCAAATGAACCAATCTCTTTACACGGGAAAGAGGGCCACATGGCTATGCTCCTGAGGGGGAAGGGGTAGGAGGGGGGACCCACCTCCCATGAAAATGCCTAGGGAGATGTACAGAAAGTAGTTTCAAGTCGATCACGAGAACTTGGTCTTTGTAGACTTTTCAAACGCTCAATGCAAGACGGTTTTTGTAAGAACCTTGCAAAGTGAATAGTTGCTGTTTTTAAAAAAATACAAGATGAACAGACCGATGGCATGAGTACACCAAGTTCTCTGCCCCATTACCCTGATCAGCAATTTGCTGGCTGTTGTAAAGTTTTTTTTCTCTTCTCTAAAGATGTTTGTTTGAAAACCACTAACCATTGCCTTCTCAGTCTGAAAATCGTCGTCTTCTCAGGCCGTGGGTTTGGCGCCCACTGTGTTTTCTTTTCTTTACACAAAGGCAGGCACGTGCCACCCCTCCACACATGTCCAGAGGTAAGAGCACACACTAAGGCTGATGTTAACTGCCACTTACACGGCATCTGAGAATCGCTGATTCGTATCATTTGGAAAGACTGACGGAAGACCAGGCAATAATCTACCTCCTAGTTCCTTTGTTTTCATTATTATATGCTCTACTTGAGCTTTTCCTCCTTGCACCTATTATTTTCTGGAACTGATCTTAAATTGTCAGTGTGGTCTGTGTCTGTTTCGGTCTAAAACAGGCTGGAAGAGACATGACTCTAGCTGAAAGCAACGTGGTTTAACAATAGCTCATACGGACTAGTCCCAAAGCTAGAGATTAGCCGATAGATCCACAAGCAATCTGTTGCAGAACTTGGTGTTTGTGGATATCTGTCACTTCTTTGCCTAATCCTTTCTTCCTACTGACAAATAGTTTCTTGCTTAGTGGCTGTGTCTCTGGATGGAATGGTTTTTTGCACCTCTTTTATTGCAGAGTGACATGCCATTTCACACTGCAGTTCTCAAAAAATGGCTTCCTAAGCTAAACGGTCCTTTCCTTATCTTAATGTGCAGCTTTAAATATTGGCTATACAGGGGTCTGGAGCATGCTATGGAGGAAGGAGTGGGAATGCTGTAAGAACAAAGCCAACTGGATTACAACGTCCACTACCAAGGGAAGGAGCAATGCATATGAACCTCCAAGGGGGTCCAGGGTTGTCCCGCTCTTTCCCCACCCCTCGGCCCCAACCCACCGGCTCCCTCCCCGGCCCGCCCCCAGGACGATCACTTAAAGACAGACTGGAAAGTCGGACATTCATGATTTTTCATCTTCTTCATGAAGTTTTTGAATTCCTTGTTTTTCTTGTCCCACTTGTGGATCGCTGTCAGCAAGTACTGGCTCTTCACCTTCCGCCCCATGATGAGAAACTGGTGGTTGAGGTTGTCCAGCTGGTGGCAGGGGCAGTCAGCCCCATTCTTCAGGTATAAGACAAGCTTCTTTAGTTCCTTCTTCTTGATAGGCCCCAGCTTCAGGGGCTTCTTCTTTTTGGGGACAATCTTTTTGTCACCATTTTCTTTTTTCACTTCTTTTATTTTCATCCTCAGTGCTAGAAATGGGGAGGGGGAAGGGAGGACGACAAGAGGAGAGAAGAAGAAAAGACATGTTTTAGAGCATACTTTTTCATCTAAAACAGCAACCCAATTTTACGGCTAAGGAAGATGGTAAAAAAGAATACAAATAGCAAGTAAAAGGAGGAGGCATTTTATAAACAAAAATCCAGGCCTTGGTTACTCTCTGTGCTACTGATTCTGACCCATTGGTTTGTGTGTCTCATGGCAGCTCAACAATTTCATGGGGTGCCATAAATAGATTTTCAAAGTCAAATCATACTTCTTTTCCTTAAATTTCAGCAACTTAGATATCATACAATGCTTTAAAAGAAGGGAACTATATAATCCTACGTAATTCATATAATCTAATGCTATGTTGTTGTTGTTAAGTGCTGTCGTGTCGATTCTGACCCATAGTGACCCTGTATAGGGTTTCCAAGGAGCAGCTGGTGAGCTTGAACCGCCAACCTTGCAGTTCCAACGACTTTGCAGTCTGACACATTAAACCCACAGCACCACACCAGGACTCCAATAAGACACATGGAATCTATTTTTGCACCGTTGCAAATGAAAAATTAAAGAGTACTTCAAATTGTCACACTTGGGTGCATCAAACACAGAAGTCCAACTGCAGCATCAAAATAATTAGGGTCTGTAAGACTGAATCTCTAAGGCAGTTTTTTAACTGCCCACACCAAGCCACCCCATCGAGTTGATTTCGGCTCATAGTAACCCGATATAGGGTTTCTTAGATTGTAAATCTATACAGGAGCAGACAGCTTCATCTTGTTCCCCAGGAGTGGATGGTGGGTTTGAACTGCTGACCTTGTGGTTAGCAACCCAGCACCTCATGCACAGTGCTACCAGGGGTCCTTGTTTTAATAGCGGGGACCGTTGATATTCTGTCAGCACAGAAAGGAGTGCCTTGTAGAGTCAGACTCTACTCTGACTTCCTGACAGATGAGAGCATGTCCTGGTGAAATCCTCATAGCTAAACTGTGGTGCTACTTTCTGCCACAAATCTTCACATGAGCTTCTTCTGTTACCATAATAACCAGCCCATCCATTAACTCCACCTTCTTTTGTCTCTATAGATCCTGAATTAACATCATTTTAACCCCTGGACTAACTGTTTTACTGATAGGTGTACAGCATCTATTGCTGGGAATAAACTGGTGTGAAGGCACATTTTCAGCTGGGAAAGCACTAAATACATGAAGCCACTGATAGATAATATCTCTGGGCAGGAAGGTCCTTTTTGATTAATTTCCCTTTAAGACTGGCCAGTCCAGGTATTTCCAAAGGAACTGAGAAATGTATTTTTTAAATGATAGTCACAAAATAATTTAGTTATCCTCTGAACTCTCATGAATTCAAAATTACCTAGCCCTCTCTTTCAATAACTCAAAGTTTCTACCCACATTCCATAAGGGAAGTTGTGAACCTGAAGTAAATAATAGTAGCTAACAAGTATACGGAGTTCCTGAGCTGTGCTAGCCAAAAGGGTGTCAGTTGAACTCCATTCAAAGGCACCTCTGAAGAAAGGTGTGGTAATCTACTTAGGAAAACAATCAGTCATTGACAATCCTAGGGAATACAGTTCTAGTCTCTTATATTCATGATATATTATGATATACATAATTGCTGAAAACCAGTTGACAGCAATTGATTTGGTGTTTTAACAGCTATAAAACATATGGCATGTCAGAAATTGTATATGCATTTTCTTATTTAAGCTGAATTTCATGAGGAAGATGCCATTATTTCCCCCATCTAACAGATAATGAGACTGGGGTTACGTTTATTTGTCCAAAGTCATCAATCATGAACTTAGACCATTATGTCCATACTGACTCTATGGTTTCAAATTTTTTTGTAATGAACCATGTGAAAGTTGGACAATGAATAAGGAAGACTATAGAAGAACTGATGCATTTGAGTTATGGTGTTGGAGAATATTAAAAGTACCATGGACTGTCAAAAGAACAAACAAATCTGTGTTGGAAGAAGTACAGCCAGAATGCTCCTCAGAAGACAGGATGCCCAGACTTTGTCTCTCATACTTCGGACATATTACCAGGAGGAATAATATGTCCTCGAGACAGACATCAGGCTTAGTAGAGTGGAGAGACAGTGAAAAAGAGGGAAGCCCCCAATAAGATGGACTGGCACAGTGGCAGCAACAATGGATGGGCTCAAGCATAGCAGCCATTGTGAGGATGAAGCAGGACCAGGTGGTGTTTCATTCTGTTGTACATAGGGTCATTATGAGTCAGAAGCAAGTCAACAGCACTTGATAAGAGCACTTGATTAAATGGACTGAAATGTAGAGCATAGAGTTTGGACCTGCCTTCCAGTTCCACAGACATTTCAAAAAAACTTTACTTGAAATGGGAAAAGAGACTACTCTGGGCAAAAGAAAGCTGCATTTGTGATTTTATTACTTAACATTTAGTTGATGAGAAAACCATACCTTTGGCTAATCCAAGAATAAAGAGGAGAAAAAAAAAAATCCTTGGAACAAATCTTTAATGAAAGTGTCAAAGCCAGTAAATTGAACACGGTTCTACTGCTTCAGATCCTTACATCTACTTAACTAACCAGTTGCTGTTGCGTTGACTCCGACTCAGACTCAAGGCAATCGCATGTGTGTCAGAGTAGAACTGAGCTCCATAGGGTTTTTAACGGCTGATTTTTCAGAAGCAGATAGCCAGGTCTTTTTTCTAAGGCACCTATGGCTGGATGAGAACCTCTAACCTTTCGGTTTAGCAGCCATGTGTGCTAACTCAAGATGCATATAATATCCCTTGAGAAATGCCCTGCTCCTGAGGGTGGCAGCAGTTTCAGGAATAGGGCACTGAAGATCAGAATATTCTAGTTGAGGAATAACTTGACCTCTCAGGATGTTTCAGACTTCCTGGTATGTATAAGTGGCTTAAGTTTAGCTCTCCAGTAAATTCCTCTCTTGTCTGCACTTTCCTAGTGACTTTTCTCCAGGGCAGAAGTAAAAACCTACTGACTTCTTGACTTCTGGTGAGATTCAACATTTACCAGATGTACAGTGGTGAGCCAGTGCTGTGTCCTTCCCAGGGCTCGTCCTTCACCCACACCCACTAGTCCCAGTGATTGTGAGGATGCTGCATTCCCACCCCCCCATTGTGAACAGAGTGCAGTGGGGACCAGGAGCTGGAACGCAGCAGGTACAAAGTACAGAGACCACACCTGCAACATCTCACCGCAGACATCCCCAAGTCAGCCCATTTCCAGCCTGTTTCAGCTGCCCCTGTGGCCTTACAGTCCCTGTACCACGTGGTTCCCTTAGTTAAGAGAAGATGCCCCCTGCTCCCATCTATGGTTCCCTGAATGGGAAAAGTTCTCAGTGGGTAGATGCTGCCCAGACCGAGACAAAGTCAAAGTCTCCATCACTCTTCTGCAAAAACAGCTAAAGGGGCTGGGAGAAAGGTTGCAAAGAACATTGCTCAGAGCAACAGAGTAAGGGCAGTTCTGTTCCTTTCACAAGAGCTTCCAAAAATGACTCCAGGTGTTGCCAAGCTATTTCCCAAAACTACGGCTAGAAACCAAGCAAGACTATAGTTTTCGGTTAAGTGACATTTAGGTGGTTCTGACTCACAGTGACCCTGTACAGGGTTCCCAGGAGTGGCTGGTGGGTTTGAACTACAGACCTTGTGGTGAACAGTGCAGTGCTTATCCTACAATGCCTCACTTTCTGCAGAGGAGTGAGCCTTCGTTTACTGAGGCCTCACCGTGTGCCAGGCTCTGGAATAGGGACTCTCTAGAAGGCATCTAGAGGGGCCCTGGTGGCACAGTGGTTAGACACTCAGCAGCTGAAACACAAGGTTGGCGGTTTGAACCCACCAGCAGCTCCACAGGAGACAAGCCCTGGTGATCTGCTCCTACAAAGACGACAGCCTAGGAAACTGTATGGCTTCATGGGTAGGAATTGACTCAAGGGCACATAGCATATGGCTCCTTACGTCACGTTAAGAAGGCATCCTTACTGTTTTATTACAGTCAAGGGCAAGGACCCAAGGTTATGTGCTCATCAGGAAAAGGCCAGTTTCTGATTGGCAGAATCAGGATTAGAACACACACCAAGCCCCAAAGTCACAATCTTTCTTACCATACCATGACTCGAATGGTATTGCTTCAGTGGAAACTATTTCAATCTTTTGATTGTGTTGCTTTTAATCATAACTCAAAAAATGATGTTCCTTTGCCATGACCGTGTAAAGGAATTTCGTTTACATGGGTGGGGGGAGCGGGAAGGGGAAACGAAGGGAAATCAAATGATGGAAATGTGTTATGCATTAGTCTCCCTGTCTCTCTCTTTTTTTTCTGGCCATTTGACTCACTCTCTTTTTTCTTTTTGAGGTGGGGATAGTAGGGAAGGGGGGAGGCACATATGGCCAGAAATTACTAACATCTTTCTATCTTTCCTGGGTTTATTTTAGGGATGCAGATTACCAACAATGTTTGGATAGGCGATCAGCTGTCCAAGGCTGAGTTCCTTGTAGACATGAGTGCAATCTCCCGCCATGCCACACCTAGCGCCTGCTGGGGCAGAGGTAGCGGCATCCCAGGAATAGCCTGGTGTGGATCACAATTCCCCACCATGCTGGCAGTGCCTAGACCCAAGGGATTTATCCATAGGTTGTATTCACAGTTTTTAATGCAAACCGTGGTGGGCAGGGAACAGAAGCCTCCAGAAGCAGCTGCTGGAGTTGGTGTGCTGGAGAGAGCACTGGGGCCTGGATTCTAACTATAACCACAGAATCTGGTTTGGAACTCCCCACATGTCAGTTTTTCATCTGTTAAGTACACAATGCAGTCTGGGCAATGCTGGACAGCCAGCAACATTCGTCTTGAGCACATATCCTCCACCTGAGCTCCTTCTCTTTCCAGGGGCCCTTCTCATCCTAGGGGATAATGGTGCCATTACCCTCGAAGACCAACCTTTAACAGTTGGTCTGTGAAC